AAATAAATATATGTGCTCTCCCCAGCCATCCATGCCAGCAGGCGGTGCTGGGGGTGTCGGGGGGGGGCTGAGGCATTGAGTTTTGCAATCAGAAATTCACCCACTCCCCTCCATTCCCCTTGGAGGGGAGGGACAATAAAAGAAAAGAAATAAAGACCGAAGCAGAGCATTTCCCTTGCTTTCCTGCGAGGAAGACGCAGAAGAGGATTTCGCAGGGCTCGGCTGGGAGGGGGCTCACGCTCCCACCGTATCCCTGGGGAGGGGGTGATGGAGGCAGAGCCCACCCAGGACTGAGCGGGAGCTGCTGCGGCTCTTCCCCTCTGCCCGGGTTTTGGCCCCAGCGGTGCCAGGCAGTGACGTGCCGGAGGGCGAAAGCGGGTTCCCTGCCTCTTTATGGGCAGTTTCATGGTTCCGTGGCTGTACGGTGCCAAGTCCCACACTAGGCGGGTGCTTGCTTGGAAGGCAAAAATCAAACAGCGGCTCTTCTGCACTGGGAGGAGGTGGGAAACGCACCGGCAGAGCGGTGGCTTGAGCTAAACCCCCGGGAAATCACACCACTGCCGGGGAGAGAGGACGGGGCTGATGGTGGCACTGCTCCTTGGAGCAGGGTGGCACCGAGGGGGGGTCACAAACCACAACAACATCAGCCAAATCCCGCTCCCGTGACTCCCTGTGCTGGATCCTGCAGGAGCTGTGGGACCCACGGGGGTTTGGAGGTGCCCCATCACCCCTGGCTGCTTGCAAGCAGGGTCTGACCTGCAAAGGCGCCCGGGGCTGCCACGGACACCCCACAGATGGATTTCCCCCCGGGGGAAACCGGTGGCGATCCCAAAGGCTGCGGCAGGGCAGAATAGAGGAACCGGATCTCATAAGCCCCCGTCCGCAGGGGAGGGGGACGGCGGCCAAGCCACGGCCAAGGTCAGGCAGCGGCGGGTGAAGGCGCCGGATCGGGCGCTCGGGTTTCCCTCCCCGCCGGGGCGGCCGCTCTCCCTGCCCAAAGCTGTGTCCCAAAGCCTGGAAAGCTCCGGTCGAGGCGTTATCGCCCAGCAGCTTTCTGCAACGCTCTCTCCTAAAAAATAGAGCTTTCTAAAAACCAGAGCCTGCCCGCGCTGGTTCAAGCTGCCGGCAGGGAGATATGCCAAGGGATTTAAAAATCAGGTCCTGACACAGGGGATTTAAAAAAAGAAAAAAAAAAAAAAAAAAAAAAAACATTTTTTTTTTTTTTTTTTTCTCTTTTTTTCCTCA